TTGGGGAGGTATGAGGGTGTTAGGGGGCAGTATGGGGGTGTTGGAGGTGTGTATGGGGGTGTTGGGGGGGGCTATGGGGGTGCGGATGGGGTTATTTTGGGTTCTGGACCCAAAGAAAAAAAAAAAAAAAAACTTTACTGATCGCCGACCGGTCGGCGCCGACGGCGCCTACCGTCGGCTGGTCGGCAGCCGACGGGTCTGGGGCCGCCTACCGTCGGCATGACTACCCTACTTTTAATGTTATTTTACTTATTATGTGAGGTGGAGCCGGGGCTCAGCCCCTGCCTCTCGATACTAGGTGCAGGCCCTCATGGCCTGTCCGATCCAAGGGAAAGACACTGTCAGGCGGGGCAATCTGTTAGGAGATACCATAGGGGTCCTAAGATGAGCTCAATGAGAACATAAATATTGTGTAGAGCAAAGTGACAAAAGCTCGTTTGATCTTGATTTCCATCACGAATACAAACTGTGAGATCAAAAGAGATTGACATTGACAGAGTAGAAGAAGGGCACGACGAGAAGGACAAAGGTGGAAAATAGTCGGTATGGGCCAGATCAGCGCCAGATACTTTTGAAGAAGGAGATGGTTTAAAATAGTCTGGGCGCAGTGGAAGATGCATAACTCGCTCAATTCTTAGCGGAATCGGGCGAGTGAAGAGGCGATTTTGGGGTTCTTGCCCCGGGTGAGTTGGATGGCGGTGTTAGAACTTGCAGTGGGCTTACGGGCTAGTCGGTATGGGTCGCAAGAGCTGCACGGTCCGTTGTGGGAAGAGTCTAGCATGTTGATGACAAAGTGGTGAAGGTGAACTTGACAGGATTGAGGAGGATTTGAGGAAGATGAAAGCGGAGGTGAGATGCCAATAGAGAAGAGGAACAGGCGAAAAGGAAGAGGGTGAGGTCGGAGCAAAGGAGTAAGAGAAGGGTAAATCCACCCGGGCGGCATTGCAGCCTGGTGCACGTTAACACACACATACACACACACACACACACACACACACACACACACACACACACACACACACACAGAGAGAACGTCGTTTCTACTCCCATGCTGTGGCCAAGGTAGTTGTGGTGTTGCTCATGGTGGCCCTGCTGTTCCTCACTGTGCCCATCATCGAGGCGCTCTTCATGCTCGTCATGGTAGTCTTGAGATCGTGCAACTCGTAGTGCACTTTGTAAAGACTCGACTAGTGTTCATCATGGAGATTTGCTCGTGAAAACGACGCTCCTGACGATACATCGTCGTTATGGTCATGCTTACGAGGTAATGTATCTTCCCGTATCTAATGGGAAGATTCATTCTCATTTTGCACTAGTGTTGAATCATGCATATCGGGCGCTGCTTGTAGTCGACTTCATCGTCCGCATAGCTGTAAGCGATCGGTGGAAGTCGTGGTTGGCACGCATCCGAACCTGGACGCGGTTGGGGTGAGGAACATTTAGATCGAAGAGAGGGGGATTGAATGGAGAAGATGATGAATAGACGTGAATAGAAGAGGTAATAAGTGTCAAAGGAGAGAGGATCAATGAGGGTGGAACATACTTATCTGATCGGGCTGATCCGTGATTAGGAAGGTGCGGACCTGCTGAGGAGACTGCGGCGACAGAGTATGGATTAAGAGGAGCACTTACATGGAGCGTTGTATCTCTCCATGTTCTAGCGGAAGACTCATCCTCTTTTTGCAGACTGTGCTCGCGGAAATCACTGTGTTTGTCCTCACTGTAATACTCGTTGAAGGTGCGGTGGGTGCTGGCCATCATCATTCCCGCAGTCGCTGTTGCCCGCGTTATTATCTTGTTCGCGGTCTTCAACCCATTGGGGCTCTCTCCCATCAATAGTATCACCCACTCCCTCGTGTGAAGTTGGCAAGGTAGTTCGTTCGAGTGGCAGAACTAAGACCGAGGGAGAACGAGGAAGACGTGCATTTACCTACCTGCATACAACATGAGATGGAAATGTATTTACCCGAGTCCTAGCGGAAGATCCGTTCTCATTTTGTGCAGTTGGCAAGGCGAACCTGGGCACCTGGCCTAGTTCGATTCCTAATCGTTTGCGCTGGTTGTTAGCTTGCTGCCACTTCATTGCTAGCCTAAGTGCTAGCCATTGCTTTTTATCGTGGTTGTTCTGGTAGGTTCGCATATCCCTGGTGTTGGTATTGTAGTCGGGATCGTGATATTTATCAACATCATCGTGCTGACAAGGAGAATCGTGTGACCGCACTCCGTTCTTGAGCAGCCGCGACCTGCTGGCTGGAACGTTGCAGATTAAGGAAGGCTACGTTTTCGACAATAGCAGTCTCCTGGTCTAGGTTGCAGACAGGTTGGGCGCTAGTGCCATGGGATTCGGCGCCACAACAGTTATTTGTGGGACCAGATGCGTGGAAGGTCAGGGGCGGTAAATGAGGCGAGGAGGTGATTGAATAGTGAAGGGATAAGAGAGCCGCAGGGCAAAAGGGGAATGTGAGAAGCAACGACACATACTTAGTCATGATGATAGTCTACAAGGTTGACATTTGCATAAGGTCAATGCTGCTGTGACGTTCATAAGTTGCTTCGCCACCTTTTTTTTAGAATAGAGTAGCGGTGTGACTGTAGTCTGGGTGCTGAGCTCCGATAGAAGGAAGAGCTTCTATAAAATTATATTGTATTGCTGGTGGTAGCGAGAGGATACTTTTAGGTGACATTTGGGTTCGCTGCTTAAGCTCTCCATAGGTGGTATGAGTGCTATTTGCTTTCTGAGCGACCTTAACTATTAGACTTTCATTGTGATTTGCGGACTCGGGGCTTGGTGTTGGCAAGGGCTGTTGCAGCCGATTTGAGTGGGCGAGTACAGCGGACTGCGTCGCTGTGTTGCACCGTGTGGCGTGCCCCCTACCTCGATGTGGCAATGGCTCGGGGGTGCGAGTTTGCTTACAAATTCTAAGGGTTGGGCTTTGCAGCACTTCAGTGGCTCTTTGCATACCCGACATTTTTCTTCGGAGAGCTTGCAGCGCAACCTTGGGTATTGTTGTGCATTCGCAGCCCAGTGTTGTGCATCAACTGAGCTTGCTATTGCTCATTGTTGTGCGCTCATGCGGTTTTGCTACGCTTGTAAGTCGAGTTTGCGTTGTGCATCATAGGACATTTCCTAGTTTCGCTGCGTTCTGTTCGGACTTACCCTTTCCAAGCTGCATAGTTGGAGTTTGATCAGAGGTGTGACACTATGGCTTTAGAGGGATGACCAGGCTTTGCAATGGGGTTACTGCTGCAACTAGGAGGGTTGTCATATTGTCGTCACTCTGCGTTTGGCCGCAATCTTGCCGTCCTACTGCGTTTTTGGCCACCATTGCGGGGCCCTCGGGCGCATTGAGATTTTAAGGCCCTCTCACGTTAGTAGCGCACCTCTCTTGTATCTGAGAGTCTTAACGTTTTTAATTCTATCCTTCTCACTCTCAATCTAGTCTATTGGTCCAAAGAGGAAGGCGGTAGGTGGGATTGGAATTGTATTTGAGCGACTTAACGTTTCTCTTTCTGTCCTTCTCACTCTCCGTCTAGTCTATTGGTCCAAAGAGGAAGGCGATAGGTGAGATTGGAAACCTGTAATCCACACCAAGGCCTTTGTGGGAGGTTCGCCCCATCGATTGCAGGAGCTCGAACCTAGGTGAGGTTATGGAGGCAGAGAATTGCCAGGTATAATGATTATCACTTTTGTGTGAACCCACTAAGCCCATATCAGTACATCTCTCTGCGTAATCTGCTATGTATGTGCGCGCCCCTATGGACTTGTCTTTTTGTTCAAGACTTAATCCGGATTAAGTAAAAGGAATGCATGGATGAAATTCATTTCCTATTTTTTGAATCCTGACAACAGGGATAATTTGGGGGAAGGTGGGAGGAAGGCAGTTTTCCACGAGTTTGACTAGGCCTTAAAGGGTTTGGCATTGTTTTTTAGATGAATAGACTGATCACTTTGTTTTGTTATGTTTTCTTATGAACCAAGCATTGTTTATAAGATGAATGACTTGGTTGTTTTGTTTCTTTGACTTATTTTCTCCACAACCAGACATTGTTTCTAACATGAATGGTCTGGTTGTTGTTTCTTTGGGGTTTTGACTGCTTGAACGTTTAGGGTCAAGCATTGTTTCTGAGATGAATGATATCGCCGTTGTTTATTTTTTGGTGTTTTCTGAACAGGCTCTGGGCATTGTTTCTAAGATGAATAATGACCCATAGTACTCAGTTGAGCATTGTTTCTAAGATGAACGGCTCAATTGGGAATATGATCTTTTTATATTTTTACTATTTACATGTACATATCCATGCGAACAAGGCTAGTCGGACATTGTTTATAAGATGAATGGTCTAACTATAGCCTTATCAGAAATTAAGAATACAATTAAGAGTTATAACTGAAGATAACTTTGGCTCAATCCTACGCTCACTTTGAACATTAAGTGCAGAGAGAGATATATAACTTGGCTATTAAAACATCTCTAGACGGAGCGCTGCCAAAATTTCTACAAATCAAAAGGTTTAGTTGAATTTTGTCTTAGCAAGACACTTCTCTAGAGGGAGTGTTGCTGAAATTTCTAGAAATCTAAAGAGCTAGTTGAGTTTTGTTTTAGTAGAGCATTGTTGGTATATTACTCATCTCTAATACCCTAAAGGAAAAGGCGGGTCTCGCTTGATGGGCCCATGCAAGACTCCGCAAGGCGGTGCACGGTACCGTCGATGCGGACCGGTGCGATTTCGGGACAGCGTGCCACGGTTTCGGGACGGTACGGCGGGTCGACGTCGGGGCTGCGGTGCCAAGGCGGGGACGACACCGTTCCGACGGTGAGGCGGTAGCGGGGCGGCTCGGCAGGGTCGACGTCGGGGTTGCGGTCGTGAGGGGGGGAGCTGCTCGGAGCAGGAGTCGACGCGGTAGCGGGGCGGGGTGATAGCGTCGACGTCGGGGTTGTGAGGCCGGCGCGCCCCTGCGTCAGCAGGAGGTACGAGGAGGCAGGAGGTAGCGCGAAGTAGGGGAGGGTGGGAGTACGATGACTGAGTCGTGCGCAGTGGGAACGACGGGGGAGAGAGAGAGAGAGAGAGAGAGAGAGAGAGAGAGAGAGAGAGAGAGAGAGAGAGTACTTGGATCGATTCGTTGGCCATATTCAACCAGGTACTG